AGCACTGCCTGTCGGAGCGTCTACATGAAAAGAGAAGGAAGACATTGCTGGTAATATTGTCTTCAGTGTTGTTAAACATCTCAGCGCACTGAAGGAAGCCATCTGACTGTGTGAGGGGCAAGATCGTTGATGTCTGCAGGCAGAGTAGGCCTAGAGCTCTCCTGTCTGACTGGTCCACCAATAGCAGAGAAGATGACCCCTTGAGACACAGCCCCTCCTCATTTGCATAATGAGGCAGAAATGCATACAGAAATTTAAAAAGGACAGGCAGAAATAAATACCATGGGTGAAAATAAATAAGGTAAAAAAATACAAAGGAAGAATAAACAGACAAATATATTAAAACACACACATAAATAAATACATTTAAAAAATAAGTAATTAATAAATAAAGTTGAAGATTATAACAGAGAATAAATAAATAAGGCAATTATTACAAAGGTGAATAAGTAAAGGCGCTAATTAAAATATATACATTTATGTCTCCTTGTATAATTTAATTACTACCTACATTTATTTATTTACTTCATTGTTTTGTGTATTTAATTGGATGCTTATTTATTTATTGAGCATTTACTTATTTCTGTATTTATTTCTGACTGTGTCAGGATCGGTCCTCCATACCCCGCAGACATCTACACACCAATACCGATTTATATTCATAGCGGCAAGTGCTATGTAACTTCACAAAGGTGACACAGGAAGTGTCACACCCAGACGCGGTACAAGTGCGAGGGCCCGCCCAACGCTGCTTGCAGCTTTAATTTTCTTGTTATCATTTTTATTTTATTTTTGGCCCTCACACCTTTTTGTCCTTTTTGTTGACCACAACCTGTCTCTGGCACTGTTCAGCTCGCATAAGCCCTATAACTCTAAAAGTATCCACCCAGATATCATTTCCTGGCATGCACGTAACAAGGAGAGAGTGGCTGGTGTCTCGAGTGAGTGACAGACGGAGAGAGAAATGGAGAGTACTAAGAGAAATGCTTTCAGATGACCTGGAAAGAAGTTTATGCCAGAGATAAAGCAAGTGCACATCAGACGGGCAAATTATTCTGTATTCCTTCCTGAGAATTACAAGTAGTGTTTATAAAAATGCTGCTGTCACCAGAAAGCAGGAAAGACCACTTACAGAAGCTCTGAGGGAAACCCATGAGGTTGGCAACTTCTCTGGGAGTAAAATAACGGAGCTTCAGTTTGGCCAGCTGCTGGAGTTTTTCCTCCTCAGAGCATTGCTCCAGACCTCTGAACACACTCTCCATCTGCAGAGCACACAAAGCAAAAAACTTCAGCGCTGACATAAACATGCCACTGTTGGATGACTCAGTGGTCCAGTAATACTTTTACTTTACTGTCATTGTGAATCAGCTTAAATTAATAACAACTGAAGACATCCACTTTGGACGCTGTCCTTGGCTGTAAGGTCCACGTCGCTCCGACTGAAGACAGAACTCACCTCTGTCTCCACGCAGCACTGCAGTACTGAGCCAGTTCCCTCCACATAGCGCCCATAGCTGTGGATAAAACACAGTAACTCCATCAAATCATGGCGTTACTCAGTGATCAACAGCAGCAATGAGATACATCATCAGTCAGCTTCTCAAAAACCCTGTTTACACTCAGGCCCTTCAAATTAGAGACATTTGAGGTCGGTCGGACTAAATCCCTAGGAGGAGTTCGTTAAAGTACGAAGTGTGTAAATCATCCAAAATGTGACGTAAAATTCAAAATGGCCGACTTCCTGTTGGTTTTAGGGCATCGCTCCAAGAGGCTTTTTTGTGCGTCTGGACAAGATACATGTACCACAGAAAATTCATGCACGTAGGTGAAACGTGCGGCGGGGGCTGCTTCGTTAAAAGTCACTTCCTGTTGCCAGCAGGTGGCGCTATGACTGTGGGTGAATGTCGGCATGTACATGTGTTCAGGGCGGGACTCTCATCCTACATGTACAGTTTGGTCCAGATGTGAGCATATACACTGAAGTTACAACAACTTCCTGTGTCATGGCGAAGACTTGATCTTTGACGCCACGCCACGGACACACCCATTGACGAAAACTCGCAAATAGCACAACTTTTCATCTTCAATGCCTTTAGAAGGCACAGCAGAAATTTGAGGTCGGTCGGACTAAATCCCTAGGAGGAGTTCGTTAAAGTACGAAGTGTGTAAATCATCCAAAATTTGACGTAAAATTCAAAATGGCCGACTTCCTGTTGATTTTAGGGCATCGCTCCAAGAGGCTTTTTTGTGCGTCTGGACAAGATACACGTACCACAGAAAATTCGTGCACGTAGGTGAAACGTGCGGCAGGGGCTGCTTCGTTAAATGTCACTTCCTGTTGCCAGCAGGTGGCACTATGACTGTGGGTGAATGTCAGCATGTACATGTGTTCAGGGCGGGACTCTCATCCGACATGTACAGTTTGGTCCAGATGTGAGCATGTACACTGAAGATACGACAACTTCCGTGTCATGGCGAAGACTTGATTATTGACGCCACGCCACGGACACGCCCATTGACGAAAACTCGCAAATAGCACAACTTTTCATCTTCAATGCCTTTAGAAGGCACAGCAGAAATTTGAGGTCGGTCGGACTAAATCCCTAGGAGGAGTTCGTTAAAGTACGAAGTGTGTAAATCATCCAAAATTTGACGTAAAATTCAAAATGGCCGACTTCCTGTTGGGTTTAGGGCATCGCTCCAAGAGGCTTTTTTGTGCGTCTGGACAAGATACACGTACCACAGAAAATTCGTGCACGTAGGTGAAACGTGCGGCGGGGGCTGCTTCGTTAAAGGTCACTTTCTGTTGCCAGCAGGTGGCGCTATGACTGTGGGTGAATGTCGGCATGTACATGTGTTCAGGGTGGGACTCTCATCCTACATGTACGGTTTGGTCCAGATGTGAGCATGTACACTGAAGTTACAACAACTTCCTGTTTCATGGCGAATCATCGACGCCACGGACACGCCCATTGACGAAAACTCGCAAATAGCACAACTTTTCATCGTCAATGCCTTTAGAAGGCACAGCACAAATTTGACGTTGATCCGACTAAATCCCTAGGAGGAGTTTGTTAAACTACGAAGTGTGTAAATCATCCAAAATTTGACGTAAAATTCAAAATGGCCGACTTCCTGTTTACTTTAGGCTATGGGTTCTTGAGGCTTTTTTGTGCAGAAAAAAGAAAAAAAAAAAAAAATATATATATATATATATATAATCCGAGCAAATTCAATAGGGACCTCACACGGTCGTGCTCGGGCCCTAATAATCCGAGCAAATTCAATAGGGACCTCGCACGGTCGTGCTCGGGCCCTAATAAAAAAAATAATCCGAGCAAATTCAATAGGGACCTCGCACGGTCGTGCTCGGGCCCTAATAATCTTAGCAAATTCAATAGGGACCTCACACGGTCGTGCTCGGGCCCTAAAAATAATCTTAGCAAATTCAATAGGGACCTCGCACGGTCATGCTCGGGCTCTAAAATATATAATCTTTACAAATTCAATAGGGACCTCACACGGTCGTGCTCGGCCCTAAAATATAATCTTTACAAATTCAATAGGGACCTCGCACGGTCGTGCTCGGGCCCTAATGAATAAAGGTCAGGGATAACTCCTGAAAATTAACACTGCAAAATTAACTGTTTAGATTCTTTGCAACAACAAATAACACCAACATGGTAACATTACTCAAATGGAGTTGAGAGACCTAATCAAGTAACTAAAAGATTATTTAATTAAACAAGGTAATGCTTTGAGTTTTGAGGAGACATGTTATTCCCACAAATGTAAATGCTCCGTATTTGTATAGCGCCTTTCTAGTCTTTTCGACCACTCAAAGCGCTTTTACACTACATCTGCATTCACCAGTCATACACATTCATACACTGAGCCTAAGTGCTCAAACGGAAACTAACATTCACACTCATTCATACAGAATCGGGGTTCAGTATCTTGCCCAAGGACACTTCGACACGCAACCAAGGGGAGCCAGAGCCGGTTGGATTAACGACCAACCCGCTCTACCTCCTGAGCCAACAGCACGCCCCTGCTTTGTAAAGTGCTAATGCTCCGGCAGTAAAGAAACTATTCTGCACAAATAACAAAACACATGAAGATGGTGACAGTTTAAAGTCCCTTGAGGCAAATTGCGATAGACAAATAAAAGTGACCAGAGCTAGGTGAATACGGTTGCTGCACCCACCCTTTCGTAAAGCAGACAGACCTCCTGCATGTGGGCCGAACAATGTCCAGGAGCAGAGCGTACCGCAGCAGTGTTTTAGGAGGCAGGAGGTAGTGTTCCACATTCAATCCCATCTGGGGTTCCAGGAAGTCTTGGATTTGCCTCACAGAAAGATCCTTGTTCTGACTCATCTTCGTCTGGGCATCCAGCGATGTCTCTACTTTTATATAGGACACGACCCACCTGCATTTCCTCTTCTGGCTGGCAGGTACCTGCAGGAGACGGAGGGCTGGAGAGCATGGGCTGCTCAGGGGAATCACTCTCAGCAGGATGTGGGAAGGCATCTAAAATCTAAAAAAAAAGTTTACAGTGAGGTCTCCTGATTATCCAGAGTAACAGTGATACACATTTCTTTCCTACATTACCAGGAGTACTGGCAGCCAGCCTAACCTGGGAACTGAAGTTTTCTGTTGACATCTTAGCAATCAGGAAGTAACGTAGTCTTGAATTTGGGATCCCAACCTGGATGTATGAATATAACAGTGATAAAATATAACTAGCTGTGTGTAGCTTCCACACTACAGAGTTAGTGAAATAAGTCGCACAGTGTGTCATGCTTACACTTGTGGGTGAGACCATGATCTCCTGGAAAGTGTATCCACATTCCATTAGTGTTTTCACCAAACGTTCCCTGGAAAATACAAGCAAGCAAGCAGAAAGTCAGTCAGACATTCAGTCAGTCAGACATTCAGTCAGTCATCTCTCTCTCCCAGCAGCATGTTCTTAAAACAGATGCATGTCTGCACTTGGTTTTCATTAGAAAACCGTGAAAGAGTCACACTTCTTATCACACAGTGCTTCTCAGACTGCTGCATCGACTGCCATTATACTTATCTATGATATGTTGATAAGACATGAAGGAAATAATTAGCAAGACTTCAGTACTACTGACATGGTGACTTTTAAGGCCATCGTTACCTGGTGGAAGAACTCTCAAAGCCTTTCACGTTCTCCAGCAGGATGAAGCGGGGCAGCCTGTTCAGCCTGGCACACGTCGGTAAGTTTGGAAGAAAGGATGAGAGGGTTTACTGACAGAAACCATGCTAACAGACCCCCGCTTGGTCAACAACAGAGAGAAAAGAACCTGGGGCCTCACTTATAAAGCTGTGTTTGGAATCACCTGCTACACTCCATAATTGGTCACTGCAAAACAACTTACAACATCTTCCATGGGGAGAGCCCCCACTTCTGACCCACACTGTAATTAACATCAACACTGAAAGTATGAATCCTCAACAATTAACTTATTGAAATTAAAGCTGTAAGCAGCGTTGGGCGGGCCCTCGCACTTGTAGCGCGTCCGGGTGTGAGTCGGCCGAGTTGCACATTCTGGAGCTCTGCCGGTGCGGCTATGAATTTGCTACGCGGTTCCGACGCCACATGAAGGTGCTATATGTCACCTCCTGTGTCCCCCTATGTGGAGCTACATAGCACTTGCCGCTATGAATATAAATCGGTATTGACGTGTAGATGTCTGCGGGGTGGGAGAGTTATCAAGCACGTAAAGTTTGTTTCAGATGTGAGCATGTACACTGAACAATAATGTACCCAAACAATAAAATAAATTCCTTTTATATTTCCCTGCCTTGTTGTTTATGTGTACATACAGAGGAAGAATGTGAGAACAGCACACATTTCATCGTTACTGTGTGTTAGAGCATGGGAGAACAGTGGATACCTTTAATACAGCCCACACCCCTAATACTGTGTAACTATAACAAGTAGAGAACAGAAGAAAAAGATGTTCTTTCTTTACAACTGTCTGCATAGCTCATTCATATTGTGTAATGAATGAAAATAAATAGGCCTACTAGGCTCCTCTCTACTTTGACATTTAAGATTAGCTGGTTTGATCCACCTTCATACACATGTGACATTACTGTACAACTTGAGAAAGGTGAGTTGTTTTCTGCTCCAGCCTGCCTAAAAGAAAAGCGTTTTGGGATTAAATGGACTTTATTAGCTGCTGCAGTGCAGGATGAACTCAGAATAGACCCATTTCTCACCTTATTATTCTAAATCATGCAACGAAGAAGAAGAAATGCATAAAAATCCTGGGACAAAATCTGTCCACAGCATGTAGTCTGATGAACAAGACTTGTGTTATAGCTGACTTGGGCAGTGAAATGTTTAATTTTTTAATTCATGTGGTCATAGTTGTCCACAACTCAAATCAGAATATAAGAAGAATGTTTATACCACCTCAAGAAGGCTTCCTATCAGAAAGGTAGGAAGGTATTTCAAATTTACAACTGCAGTACTTAAATCTAAGTAAAGTAATTTCCCTGACATTTTTGTGTTACTTTACTTTTAATAGACGCATGTAACTGGATTATACTCACAGGAAGTATAATCCAATCAATCTTATTTTCATACTGTATATCCGTTGTGTAATTTGATAAATTGTGTTGTATATGGTGCTCACATCGGGAACTACTGAGACTTCATTGCCCTCTTCAGAGAAGACTCTGACTGCAACATGCGTCTTTGTAAAGAGAGAAACGGACAGAAAAAGTCTCTAACTCTGCCTGTCAGCTCGCTCTGCTCTGTTAAAACTGAATTTACCATACAGAATTGAATACGAGTGCACTCCAGATTTAGCTGCAGCTAGCTGACCGTGTGCTTCTCCCTATACCGCAGTTCTGTGTCCATGCATGCAGCAAACTGAAAGCACTGTCTGTCGGAGTCTACGTGAAAAGAGAAGGAAGACATTGCTGGTAGTATTGTCTTCAGAGTTGTTAAACACCTCAGCGCACTGAAGGAAGCCATCTGACTGTGTGAGGGGCAAGATCGTTGATGTCTGCAGGCAGAGTAGGAGCTCTCCTGTCTGACTGGTCCACCAATAGCAGAGAAGATGACCCCTTGAGACACAGCCCCTCCTCATTTGCATAATGAGGCAGAAATGCATACAAAATTTAAAAAGACAGGCAGAAATAAATACCATGGGTGAAAATAAATAAGGTAAATAAATACAAAGGAAGAATAAAACAGACAAAAATATTAAAACACACACATAAATAAATACATTAAAAAAATTAGTAATAAATAAAGTTGAATAAACAAATAAGGTAATTATAACAAAGGTGAATAAGTAAAGGCACTAATTAAAATATATACATTTATGTCTCCTTGTATAATTTAATTACTACCTACATTTATTATTTACTTTATTTTTTTGTGTATTTATTAGATGCTTATTTATTTATTGAGCATTTATTTATTTCTGTATTTATTTCTGACTGTGTCAGGATCGGTCCTCCATAGCGGGGTGGGAGAGTTATCAAGCACGTAAAGTTTGGTTCAGATGTGAGCATGTACACGTAAGTTACAACAACTTCCTGTGTCATGGCGAAGAGTTGATCTTTGACGCCACGCCACGGACACGCCCATTGACGAAAACTCACAGATAGCACAACTTTTCATCTTCAATGCCTTTAGAAGGCACAGCACAAATTTGAAGTCGGTCGGACTAAATCCCTAGGAGGAGTTCGTTAAAGTACGAAGTGTGTAAATCATCCAAAATTTGACGTAAAATTCAAAATGGCCGACTTCCTGTTGGGTTTAGGCTATGGCTCCAAGAGACTTTTTTGTGCGTCTGGACAAGATACACGTACCACAGAAAATTCGTGCACGTAGGTGAAACATGCGGCGGGGGCTGCTTCGTTAAAGGTCACTTTCTGTTGCCAGCAGGTGGCGCTATGACTGTGGGTGAATGTCGGCATGTACATGTGTTCAGGGCGGGACTCTCATCCTAGATGTACAGTTTGGTCCAGATGTGAGCATGTACACTGAAGTTACAACAACTTCCTGTTTCATGCGAATCATCGACGCCACGGACACGCCCATTGACGAAAACTCGCAAATAGCACAACTTTTCATCGTCAATGCCTTTAGAAGGCACAGCAGAAATTTGACGTCGATCCGACTAAATCCCTAGGAGGAGTTCGTTAAAGTACGAAGTGTGTAAATCATCCAAAAATGGCCATAAAATTCAAAATGGCCGACTTCCTGTTGACTTTAGGCTATGGGTTCTTGAGGCTTTTTTGTGCGTCTTGATACGATACATGTCCCCAGAAAATTTCGTACATGTAGGTTGAACGTGAACGAGGGGCTAATCTTTTCCAATTTTCTAGGTGGCGCTAGCGAGTCATTTTGCCACGCCCATGTGCGAAACTTGTAGAATACGAAATTTTTCACCGGTTCTGACATGTTTGCAAATTTTGGTGAGTTTTCGAGTATGTTTAGGCCATGTCATTTGGGCCTACTTTGCAGAAAAAAAAAAAAAAAAAAAAAAAAAAATATATATATATATATATAATCCGAGCAATTCAATAGGGACCTCGCACGGTCGTGCTCGGGCCCTAATTAAAGCTGCAAGCAGCGTTGGGCGGGCCCTCGCACTTGTAGCGCGTCCGCGCGTGTGAACCAGCCGAATTGCATATTCTGGAGCTCAGCCGGTGCGGCTGTGAATTTGTTACGCGGTTCCGACGCCGCATGAAGGTGTTATATGTCACTTCCTGTGTCCCCTATGTGGAGCTACATAGCACTTGCCGCTATGAATATAAATCGGTATTGGCGTGTAGATGTCTGCGGGGTGGGAGAGTTATCAAGCACGTAAAGTTTGTTTCAGATGTGACCATGTACACTGAACAATAATGTACCCAAACAATAAAATAAATTCCTTTTATATTTCCCTGCCTTGTTGTTTATGTGTACATACAGAGGAAGAATGTGAGAACAGCACACATTTCATCGTTACTGTGTGCTGTACCGCAGTTCTGTGTCCATGCATGCAGCAAACTGAAAGCACTGTCTGTCGGAGCGTCTACGTGAAAAGAGAAGGAAGACATGGCTGGTAGTGTCTTCAGAGTTGTTAAACACTTCAGCGCACTGAAGGAAGCCATCTGACTGTGTGAGGGGCAAGATCGTTGATGTCTGCAGGCAGAGTAGGAGCTCTCCTGTCTGACTGGTCCACCAATAGCAGAGAAGATGACCCCTTGAGACACAGCCCCTCCTCATTTGCATAATGAGGCAGAAATGCATACAAAATTTAAAAAAGACAGGCAGAAATAAATACCATGGGTGAAAATAAATAAGGTAAATAAATACAAAGGAAGAATAAAACAGACAAAAATATTAAAACACACACATAAATAAATACATTAAAAAAATTAGTAATAAATAAAGTTGAATAAACAAATATGGTAATTATAACAAAGGTGAATAAGTAAAGGCACTAATTAAAATATAAACATTTATGTCTCCTTGTATAATTTAATTACTACCTACATTTATTTATTTACTTTATTTTTTGTGTATTTAATTGGATGCTTATTTATTTATTGAGCATTTATTTATTTCTGTATTTATTTCTGGCTGTGTCAGGATCGGTCCTCCATAACGGGGTGGGAGAGTTATCAAGCACGTAAAGTTTGGTTAAGATGTGAGCATGTACACTGAAGTTACAACAACTTCCTGTGTCATGGTGAAGACTTGATCTCTGACGCCACGCCACGGACACACCCATTGACGAAAACTCGCAAATAGCACAACTTTTCATCTTCAAAGCCTTTAGAAGGCACAGCACAAATTTGAAGTCGGTCGGACTAAATCCCTAGGAGGAGTTCGTTAAAGTACGAAGTGTGTAAATCATCCAAAATTTGACGTAAAATTCAAAATGGCCGACTTCCTGTTGATTTTAGGGCATCGCTCCAAGAGGCTTTTTTGTGCGTCTGGACAAGATACACGTACCACAGAAAATTCGTGCACATAGGTGAAACGTGCGGCGGGGGCTGCTTCGTTAAAAGTCACTTCCTGTTGCCAGCAGGTGGCGCTATGACTCTGGGTGAATGTCAGCATGTACATGTGTTCAGGGCGGGACTCTCATCCTACATGTACAGTTTGGTGCAGATGTGAGCATGTACACTGAAGTTACAACAACTTCCGTGTCATGGCGAAGACTTGATCTCTGACGCCACACCAGGGACACGCCCATTGACGAAAACTTGCAAATAGCACAACTTTTCATCTTCAATGCCTTTAGAAGGCACAGCAGAAATTTGAGGTCGGTCGGACTAAATCTCTAGGAGGAGTTCGTTAAAGTACGAAGTGTGTAAATCATCCAAAATTTGACGTAAAATTCAAAATGGCCGACTTCCTGTTGGGTTTAGGCTATGGCTCCAAGAGACTTTTTTGTGCGTCTGGACAAGATACACGTACCACAGAAAATTCGTGCACGTAGGTGAAACGTGCGGCGGGGGCTGCTTCGTTAAAAGTCACTTTCTGTTGCCAGCAGGTGGCGCTATGACTGTGGGTGAATGTCGGCATGTACATGTGTTCAGGGCGGGACTCTCATCCTACATGTACACTTTGATCCGGATGTGAGCATGTACACTGAAGTTACAACAACTTCCTGTTTCATTGCGAATCATCGACGCCACGGACACGCCCATTGACGAAAACTTGCAAATAGCACAACTTTTCATCTTCAATGCCTTTAGAAGGCACAGCAGAAATTTGACGTCGATCCGACTAAATCCCTAGGAGGAGTTCGTTAAAGTACGAAGTGTGTAAATCATCCAAAAATGTCCATAAAATTCAAAATGGCCGACTTCCTGTTGATTTTAGGCTATGGGTTCTTGAGGCTTTTTTGTGCGTCTTGATACGATACATGTCCCCAGAAAATTTCGTACATGTAGGTTGAACGTGAACGAGGGGCTAATCTTTTCCAATTTTCTAGGTGGCGCTAGCGAGTCATTTTGCCACGCCCATGTGCGAAACTTGTAGAATACGAAATTTTTCACCGGTCCTGACATTCGAGTATGTTTAGGCCATGTCATTTGGGCCTACTTTGCAGAAAAAAAAAAAAAAAATATATATATATAATCCGAGCAAATTCAATAGGGACCTCGCACGGTCGTGCTCGGGCCCTAAAAATAATCCGAGCAAATTCAATAGGGACCTCGCACGGTCGTGCTCGGGCCCTAAAAAAAAAAATATATATATAATCTTAGCAAATTCAATAGGGACTTCACATGGTCGTGCTCGGGCTCTAAAAAAATTTATATATATATATATAATCTTAGCAAATTCAATAGGGACCTCGCACGGTCGTGCTCGGGCCCTAATAATCTTAGCAAATTCAATAGGGACCTCACACGGTCGTGCTCGGGCCCTAAAAATATAATCTTAGCAAATTCAATAGGGACCTCACACGGTCGTGCTCGGGCCCTAAAAATATAATCTTTATAATCTTTAGTTGTCGTAACTTCAGTGTACATGCTCACATCTGCACCAAACTGTACATGTAGGATGAGAGTCCCGCCCTGAACACATGTACATGCTGACATTCGCCCACAGTCATAGCGCCACCTGCTGGCAACAGGAAGTGACTTTTATCGAAGCAGCCCCCGCCGCATGTTTCACCTACGTATACAAATTTTCTGTGGTACGTGTATCTTGTCCAGACGCACAAAAAAGTCTCTTGGAGCCATAGCCTAAACCCAACAGGAAGTCAGCCATTTTGAATTTTACGGCCATTTTTGGATGATTTACACACTCCGTACTTTAATGAACTCCTCCTAGGGATTTAGTCCAACCGACTTCAAATTTATCCTGTGTACAGGGTCACGGGGGGCTAGAGCCTATCCCAGCTGACACTGGGCGAAAGGCGGGGTACACCCTGGACAGGTCGCCAGTCCATCGCAGGGCCAGTATGTGTACACATACCTGGCAAATAAAGTGGATTCTTATTCTGATTAAAACACTGGTAATAATGTTAGTTATAATTTAAAAAGCAGCTCCTGTGGCTTTCTATCAAATATAAAAATATGTTTTTCATTCAAGCCCAGCAGAGGGCAATAAAAAGCTTGACAGAAGACCTTGGCAGAAGATCAAGTATGTAGAGGAAGCTCTTGGTTCTCGGGTCAGAAACGTCGCCCTGAAGTCCTAACCTGCAGAGAAAAACAGGAAAAACATTTTGAAACGAATTAAAGCCATTATTTACAGTGTTTCAGAAATAAGTTAGTATGCTGGTCACACACAGACAGTAAGACAGGTCAGGTGGAAAAAAGTATGTTAGTAAAAATGCTCAGTTGAGTGCAGCACTGTTGACACGTTTCAGGAAGCTGTGTCATGATCCTGTCTGTGTGTCTTGTTGGGGAGTCTGGGTTTTAGTTCCATGTCTTAGTTCTTAGTCCTGTACCTTACTTCATGTCTTGAGTGTTCACTCCTGGTCTGTGTACTTCTGTGTTTTGGCCATGTCTAATCTGAGTTCTGTTTTATCTTTGCTTCAGTCTGTGTTCCTTGTTGTTAGTGTATTCGTGGTCTGTCTGCTTGTGTCTGTTCCCCCAGTAATTCCTCTGCTTGCGTGTCCACTAAATACTTTGAGTTCCAGTTAGATTCCTGCCTTGTGTTTTGAAACTTGTTAGTATCTGTCTGTTTTCTCCTGCTGTCTCTCTGCCTGCCTGTCATTATTAGTATCATCTGTTTGTGCTCCCGCCCTCCTTGTTAGCCAGTGCTTAAATGTGTGTGACTTCTGTTCAGCTGTTGCTGGTTCGTTGTATGTTCATCCACTGCCGTGTGTCTTGCTTGCCTGCCTCTGCTACCTCGTTTGTTGGATTATTGTTTTGTTCCGTCTTCCCCTGGATCATTTGTTATGGACTGTGTTTTTGCTGCTCTGCGGACAACCTTGGTTTGGACTCTGCTGTAAAGCTGATGATACACAGAGCAACTTTTTGAGCAATCTTGCTGGGCAATCTTGCTAGTGGCAAGTCTGACTATGTTTTGAACGGATAGAGGCGGTGCAGGGCGGAGTGGTGGGGGAAGGGGATTACGGTAGTAATCTTTACTCATTACCATTGACGGCAACGTTGCCTTGCACGATTGCTCTAAAAGTTGCTCCGTGTATCATCAGCGTAAGATTAGTTCCTTTTGAGTTTAATAAATTCTAAAAGACTGCATCTGTCCCGCCTGCTTGTCCTGCGTTTGGGTCCTATACCTGCTCCTGCTGGCACACACGACAAACCGTGACAAGCTGCAGTGCTACTTTCTTTTTCTAGTTTTTTGTGTGTCAGTGACAGTTTTCACCAGTCTTGTACTCTACAGGGCATCAACACCACGTGCATCGTCCTGTACCCCTCACACCTTAACACCAACCATTACTTACTGATCATAACTGCTTCATTACCAGAGCTGGCAACACAGGTGTCAAAACCAAAATGATGACCCGGACTGGACAGAAAGAGTTTCTCAGAAAACAATTGAGCGGAGAGCCAGGTCTGTCAGACACTGTGGGATGCCTTCATTACTGTCACAGGACATCATCACAAAATACTGCTCCTTCCTGACATGGTTATCAACGATGTTAACGATATCAATTTGTGAAATAAGCTAAAGGTGCCCCCTCTCTGCCCCTCATCACCATTCTAAACAGCCCTGTGTCTGCTGTGGAATCCTTCAGGTTTCTGGGATCCACTATATTCCAGGACCTAAAGTGGGAGCCCAACACTGACACCATCATCAAGAAGGACCAGCAGAGGATGTTCTTCCTGCGCCTGCTCAGGAAGTTCAACCTGCCTAAGGAGCTGCTGATCCACTTTTACACAGCCATCATCCAGTCTGTCCTCTGTCCATCACAGTCTGGTTTGGATCTGCCACCAAAAAGGACAGGAGCAGACTACAATGGACAGTCAGGACTGCAGAAAAGATAATCGGTGCCAACCTGCCCTCCATTGAGAACTACATTTCCAGAGTAAGGAAACGGGCAGGAAACATCACTGCAGATCCATCTCACCCCGGGACACAACCTGTTCCAGCTCCTCCCCTCTGGTAGGCGCTACTGAGCACTGTACGCCAAAACCAACAGACTCAAGAACAGTTTCTTCCCACAAGCCATCACTCTGATGAACAGCTGACTCTGACTCACAATGTCAGGAACCATTCCTTCGCAATAACCCTGCTTGGTTGGGAACTGTTGGGCTTCTGTAAATAACATCACAGAGTATGGTCTAGACCTGCTCTTTTACGAAAAGCGCTGTGAGATAACTGTTGTTGTGATTTGGCGCTATATAAATAAAATTGAATTGAACTGAATTGAATTAACAATAATGGTAATAATATTTTTCTCCTGCATCCTTTGCACTCTGCTCATTGCACTATTGTCTCAATCTGTCTGTTTTTGTTCATAGTGTGCATATATGTGTTCTCTATACTGTAGCCTGTGTTTGATTTTATTATTGTCTTATTGTATAAGTAAGCACATCGTGAGTATTGTACACATACCTGGCAAATAAAGCTGATTCTGATTCTAAAGACTGAATCCAGTTTAATACACTGTTTGCTGATATTAGGCTAGCATTTGCTTTCCTGAGGGAGAGCAGAAGAGAGCCAACACCTTTAGAGTCCTCTTACAGTCCCCTCAGTGCACAAACTCAGGACATACCTGGTGAAAGGCTGGCAAGGAGGGCTCATCAGAAGCATGTCGAAGGCTAGTTTGTTGAAGTCATCTAGTGCGATGCCCTGAAAACAAAGACAGTAAGACACAGAAAGTTACAACACTGGAAAGAAAAATGCAACCCAGAGCCGTTTCCAGTCTGTCACAGGCAACACACACACTGACCTGCAGACAGGTCTGAATCACTGTCAGCCCTAACCCCTCCACTGCCACCCACCTCAATGGTCTTGTTCCAAAGGGGGGTGTCAGGGAAGTTGTGCCTGTAGATTTGATTGGCTGTGGTGTTTATGTCGATGGCAGCCACCACCTGGAAAGGTATGCCACTCTCTGGAAGAAGAAAACAGATTGTGTGTGAGCTACAGACATGATGCATGCCTGAACACCACCTCCTCCCTGCACATGACAAGCCTCATTTATACCAGAGTCCCCCTTCTGCCCTGTTCAGGCGCTCTACTGAACTAACGTTGGTCCACTACTACTACTACTACAAGCTTTCAGCTGCATCTTGCGGCCTTCATCAGTGGATGGTGTTTGCTCATGGTTCACTGGTAGTCCCTTGGTAACAGGTAGTTTAGAGGAGATGCTCACTGGCCTTCTTGGTCTCTCTCTGGCTGACGCTGACTCCTGGTCTCTTTGACCTTTGAGTCCTTGAGTTGCTGTGCGTGGTTTCCGGTGTTGTGGTTGAACTGGTGACATCTGTTTGCCTGAGGCTGTGGTTGTGTTGCTGATGTCAGGACATTGAAAGTGAGTACTAGGAGATAACAAAGTAGGTGACTGTGTCGGTGCCTGTTCAAAACACTGCCAACATCAATAAATCCCACAGAATGTTATGTGTATCATGTGTCATCATTAATCTGATACAAGTCTGAGAGATGTTTCTACTTACCTGAAAGTGAAACGAAACGTGGTGTCAGCTGTTAGTTGTGTGTTTTCTACTAAAGGCCACGTACGTTTATCTGTCATAAATATACTGAAATATTTATTTCAGTGAAAACTGATGCGACTATTGATGGGATTGAAGCATGTTCCCCTGCGTCTGGAGAACATGATCCTATTCTGGGTATTTCAATAATGAAGTCCCACTCAGAAAATCAACAAATACAGATAATGAATATATGATAATAAACAGCAAACACACCGGATGTTTGGATAAGCTCCATCATTAAGAAGCCTCCTCCGCCTGCTGCTGTGAAAACACAAACATCCACAAGATCCATCTCACCCCGGACACAACCTGTTCCAGCTCCTCCCCTCTGGTAGGCACTACAGAGCACTGTACGCCAAAACCAATAGACTAAGGGACAGTTTCTTCCCACAAGCCATCACTCTGATGAACAGCTGATTTCTGACTCACAGTGTCAGGAACAATTCCTGTGCAATAACCCAGTAACTCTGTCTCTAATCAGCACCTGTTTACTGGTTTCCACTTATTATTTATTTATTCACCATTCTCTATTTCAGTGCTGTTCATACTATGTCATATTGTATATACTGTATACGAATACACCTACTTCAGGGCATCCTTTGCACTATGCTCCATCACACTGTGTACATGTGTACATGTATGTGTACCTGTATATCATATCCACCTTCAACATGTACATAATGAGAATAGTTTACTCTTGCATCCTTTGCACTCTGATTACTGCACTATTTGTCAATATGTCTATATTGTTTTGTTCATAGTGTGTATATTAGTGTTGTCTATACTGTAGTTTGTGTCTGATTTTGTTTTATTATTATTATATTATTATTGTATAAGTAAGCACATCGTGATCAATGTACAATCCCGAGTCAAATTCCTCGTATGTGTACACATACCTGGCAATAAAACTGATTCTGATTCTGAAGATGAGTTGTGTGTTTTTTGGGCGACTTTATAGTGCTTATGGAGAAAGTCAGCAGAGCAGACTCATACAGGGAGAGAGACACAGGAAGAGACAGGCTAAGCAGGGGCAATCTCAAAACGTTTTGTAACGGTTAGCAATGTTTTCGGACTGAACGGCATATTTCCTTGAAACTTTGTGCAACATTCAGCAACGGGCTTCGAGGTATGTTTTCTCCCGTTTGGTGGGCGTGTCACAGGTGTTACCCAATCAGCTGAGATAGGTTTGTAAACACAACGGTGTTAAAAAGGCAGGAAAAACAGGGTGTTCAATGCACCGCCGTTTCCGTTGAAAAAACGTTTTGCTACGTTTTGTCGGCGCTGAACTCACCCCAGATTCAAGTACCGAGGAAACAGTAAAAACAGGTGGAGAGTGAAGCAGTAAAAGGGTGGAATAAGAAATAAGCTCCAAGAAACACGTCCTTCTGTGGACCAGCTGGGCAAGCTGTTAAACAGGTAACAGGTGCAGTGATAATCCTCCATCTGCACAGACACAAACTCCATCAAAAGTCTACAGCCTGCTGCTGCGATCAGCAAGGAAAAGATGCGTGCATGAAACGTGGATGCGGTTAAGAGAATTGGGATGCGCCCCGATCTCAGGCAAATCCTCTGGACTGCATGGTTACTTCTTCCTCTTGAACAGAGTCACAGTGATCCGCTCCAGCAACATCCGCAGAGGATAGGGTGTAGCCCTACCACTTAAGTAAAATCAGGGTATGCCAGCTTACCCTTCAGCGCGTAATGCATCCCTCCTATTCCGCTGTACAGCTCCAGCACACGCAGCGCCTCCATGCCTGTCCTTCTTCTTCGTGGGTTAACGACGTTGGAAACCGCACCGCCACCAGCTGGTGTGGAGGCTGGATGGCATGCAGCAGCTTCTTCTTCTTTCTCTTCCTCTCCGGCAGACTCGACCTGCAGTGCTGCCTCCGGCCGGTACAGCAGGACACTGCTGCTTGTGAGATGATCTCAGCTATCTGTGGTTTCCTACTTCCCTACAGCTACGTCTCGGCATTATTAGAAATCCCCGTTACTCATACACTAATACTGTCTGTGTTATAAATGGGGTGGACAAAACAAGAGAATCAGCTTCAGATAAAGACGTTTGTTCTGAGGATTGGTTATGTTGCTGAATGCTGAAAACGTTTGTATACTCTGGACTGGTGAAGGTTACATACACCAGCACACACTATGTGTATTAGTATTTTAAGGCATCAACATCACATGAATGTGAATATGAATGTTTTTGATCTGAATACGATGATTAAAAGGTTTTCTACCGTCTCTGGTTTGTTGTTAAGAAACTAACCGAATTCCCCAGCAAAACCCCACCAGGGGTTACTGAGTACCTTTAATCTGTGTTGCAGTGTTAGGTAAGCAGTAACTAATGAGTCGTGACCAGTGTTGTGCTCCTCAGCAGCTGCTTCAGAGTTAGCCAGCAACCACTCATGAAGTGGTCAAGTAGTTTTAATTAATAAAAACTATGTGGTGTGTGTGTGTGTGTGTGTGCACATACACATCTGCATTCCCCCCAAAAACCTGATTGCAGTGTTCTGGCATACAAATCAAACATCATTACAACACAAATTGCACAGGGACAGGAAGTGTCCTAATATGGAGTGGTGGCGCTCACACAAACTTCCGGTAGGGTGTGAGCTCGCAGCTAAGTCTGGAATCACAATTTTTTCGCTTTCTCCGTCCTTTGCTCAGACTGTCAGTCCGCTGACGATAACCCGGCGCCGTGCGTTGTCTCGTGTACAGTTACACTGAACGAACTTTCTAACAGCACGTTGTACTTTTCTGGATCCGTGTTTTCAGGAAAATGTCCAAGTCTCTTAAGAAGATCGTGGAGGAGAGTCGGGACAAGAACCTCCCAGAGGTGGAGATGTGCGACAGGGGCATTTCCAACATGCTGGACGTCCCGGGACTGTGTAAGACCACACAGGCAGACCCTCCGTTAGCTTTAGCTTTAACTCACACGAAGAGCCTCCTCAGACACTGCCACACAGCTTTAGTAAGCTAACACACTGAGCTAGAACATTGTCTTGTAAAAATATTCTGTTCTTGTGATTTCTCTATTTATTGTCCTGGCTGTGACTTAGGCTGTTTCAACAAAAGCAGATGTCCCTTGATGAAGTGAAGTGATGCAGTCTGTCACTACCTGTTGAAATCCTGTCTTCCGCTAAGCTGGCTCAGGGTGATGGTCCTCATTTAGGACCTTTTCCACGTGTTTGTTTACCATGAGTGGAATACGTTTTAGTTAGATAGATCAATAGATAAAATCACTGTGTGACTGATCACAACGTAATCAGTCACACAGTAGTTAGGCTACTGATGTCTAATGTGATGTGATCGATGTGACTTGACGCTGTGTTGAGTCAACGCTTGCTGTGTTAACCTGATGTTGACATATGCTGACTTTATGTTGTGTTGACTTTAGGCTGCATGACTTCAGGCTGCGTGTCTGGACGCTGCGTTGACATGATACTGCGTGACTTGCTGTGTTGACATGTTGACCTGTGCTGACTTGATGCAGTGTTGACTTGACGGCACGTGACTTCAGACTTCAGGCTGCTTGACGGGCGCTGTGACTTGCAACACAGTGACTTGCTGTGTTGACATGTTGACCTGTACTGACTTGATGCTGTGTTGACTTCAGGCTGCATGACACTGCGTTGGCATGACACTGCGTTGGCATGACACTGCGTTGGCATGACACTGCGTTGGCATGACACTGCGTGACTTGCTGTGTTGACCTAATGTTGACTTGATGCTGTGTTGATTTGATGCTGCATGACTTGCCGTGTTGACCTGATGTTGACCTGTGCAGACCTGTGCTGACTTGATGCTGTGTGTCGTTTCAGTCACTCTGTCCAACATCACTCAGCTGGTCCTCAGCCACAACAAGCTCACAGGTAAGCTACTGCCTCCCTCTGCCCTCTAGTCTCCACCACCAGCTGTCAGACAGCACTGCATGTGTCTGTTTTGAGAGCTTAAGAACCCTGATGCTTATTGAAATGAATTGACAGCACTCTAACTGTTGGTGTTATTTTTGTGTCTGGTCTGTAAAGGAGAGCAGGAGAACCCTAACTGTGCATTCCCGCCAAAAGCAAATTTAATCCTTGCATCGCTTTCCTCGCTGGTGTTTTAACACTGGGCCACTGCCAAGTGTTCACACACCATGCAATAAAATTAATAAACACAAGCCGTGGTTACTTCAGCTGTATGAACCCAAATAAACATCTTGCTGATCAAAGTGATGCCGAAATAACTACAAGAGGATGCAGATTTGTTAAACATTTCATGCTTTTTCAGGTCAGTCAGCAAGACAGCAAGATAACAACTTTTAAAATGTTTGTTTTGAGTTCGAATCGATCAGGGCTATGCTATGCTAACTTGTTCACAGTAAAGTACAAAGATAGCTGGAATAAAGTAACACATTTTCTGAACTCACCAGGTAGTTCAACTTCCTCACTTTCTTTTCTCCAAGCAATACCTAGTTTTGTCCGGGTTTTATATAAATATGAAGTAGTAGTATCAAAGAGGCTAGACAATTTAATACTAGTTCCAAGCAGATAGGGCAGGCCTAACCACCTCGCAGCAGCTCCCCTCCGTGCTCCCTCTGGATGTCTGAGCTCCATACCCTGTCTCTAAGGCTGAGCCCAGCCGCCCTACGGAGGAAACATCTATCTCCAGAGCCCTGTTGCATGAGAGATATCTACCAGGAATATGGGTGAATATGGATTTTGTGATAGCACAACTCGCAAAAAATTTTAATCTTTCTTGTTACTTTCATTCTTACTGTTTGTTAGAAGAACGGGTCAGTTTGGCAGGGGTATGATATTCTCAGTCAAAAGAAAGGGATATGTAATGTAAAAAGTAACCCTAGCAATCAGCATATAAATATATATATATATATATAGGGAATGGGCACGTTAACGCCTTGTTATCGCGTTAATGCAGTTTTTATTATTATTATTTTGAAAGTCCATTGCTCACTGTCACACAATGTAGGCTAGTTGCTTGACCCGCGGGGTTGCTCTGCACTCCTGCTCTGCTCTATGGATAGTAACCATGGCAACGGCTTCTGTGCGCTACACAGCTGCAGCCTATTTAACTGAAGTTAAAATTATACATAATTTTACCTGATAGGCCTTCATCTAGTTTTGCGGGGATGCTCTGCCATGCAAATTCCCTACTGTTGACGTCCTGATAACTATTTACTTTAGTAAACAGTTATAGATTCTGGAAACTCACAAACAGCAAGGATCAGTCTCTCTTCCAATTATTTGTGCTCTTCGTCCTGGCGGCTACAAAAAGTTCAAGACAATTCAACTTCGGCAGTGGGCGGGCGTGTGCGTGCATCTAACAGGGACACTTGCTACTGAAGATAGACTGTTTTGCTGCTTCCTGATTAAAGAAAAATGTTTCTGCTGATACCTGTTCAGAAAAATAAAACAAGGAAACAGATTTGTAAATGTTAAACTGTTGCTCCAACCCGGTGCCTGTTATGATTTTATGAGCTTGGCTCTGGACTCTAAGTTGTTTTAACAAGCTAGATAAAAGGTAATGCCCTGGCAGTGGCAAATAGCTTTGCTTTTATATTTGATTTGATTACATTAATGTTTAAGTTGAAATTTACAAGAAATATTTTATTACTGTGTAAAGGAAATATTGCTGGTAAAAATGACCTTATTTGTTTAAAGTGTTTTCAAACCACGTTATTGCACTTTTGTGTATATAGCAGTATATTTAAATTAAAAGTGCGCAATACGCTACTTTAGAATTCATTATTCAATTTCTCTCTTTCTCTCTCTCTCTCTCGATATAGATATAGAGCTAGAGATAGAGATATATATCTCTGATTGGAGGTAAGTGATGTAATAGTGATTTGCACCAGCAGAGGTCACCACAGTCACACTAACCTGTGTTTGAACTGTGCTGTGAAACAATGTTTCTGAATAACCAAGCCAAGTGTTGGTTGTGTGTTAATATCATTTAAGCTATTTCAAGATTGAACGTGAGGGCTAATTATGAAAAATCTTTTTTTTAATAAAACTACATATTGTTAGAAATTTGTCATGTCCCCGTACACAGAGCTGGTAGTAAAGTATGAAACGCTGATCCCGTAGGTTTGCTCTTTCAGTCTCACAGTCTGTCTTTTGTCAGTGCCAAACATCATTCACTGGTTTTAGATCAGTTTCATGTATTTGTTCCTGGGAGTACAGATGTTTTGACAGGACAAAGAAAAGTATTTTCTTTATTAAATTATGGCTCCCTGCTTGTTAGTGGAAGCAAAGAAAGAAAGATGAAGGACACCATCAGACCAAATGCATCTAAAGGTGGACATTTGATTTCTGTTTTTCATCAGATGAAAAAAGAGTTTTGAGATTTTTTTCGTCGGTGCTCGCTAATTCCGTGCCATGTTCACCTTCTACTGTGTTTTCTAATCTGCTGCTGGAGATTAAAAGATTAACACATCACACTGTGCGAGGTTATTTATAGTTCTGATTAGACCAAAATGACGATAACATAATTGGCGTAGTTACCAACCTGCAGGCACTCTCAAGGTATGCTCGGTAACTCAGCCATCGCACCCTGCCAGCAGCCTGTGAATGCATCACTGTGTACGTTCTCCAGCCATGTCATACATGCCATGACTGTAGCTGTCCACGAGCATTCATCCTGCTTTGGGCCTGTTTCTCCTGCACTGTAGACAGCACAGAGTTGTACAAGGACCAGCAGGCTTCATGCCCCCCCCCCAATCCAGATACTTGTGTACTTTGCATATAGTCTGTATCCCAGTGAGAAATGGGAAATATATTAGCTATTGAGTAAACTTTGTTGATAGTTTTTATAATATCTGCTTTTAGGGGCATCCCTGCTTCCATGATATAGCTGCTGTATGAAACTTCTGCTGGCTGCTAACATGCCTTCACTGGGGTCACTAGAAGAACAAACTAATAATCCAGCAGCTCCCCAGGTCACACTAACACACCCATATGGAAATCAATATCATATACTGTATGGAGACCCTTAGAAATACTTTCCATCGGGCGGCCCACAGAGAGAGAGGCCAGCTAAATTGAATTGATTTCTGACATCCTCAGTGAACCTGTGGGACCTTTCAAACCAGCAGCTCTTTACTGGCTCAAACACACCACACCTTCTGTCTGCCGCTGTGGCTCTGTCTGTTCTGCAGGCAGCTG